TGTGTGTGTGTGTGTGTGTGTGTGTGTGTGTGTGTGTGTAGCAGGCTGGTGGTGTCACAGCCCTTAGTGGAGCTGCTAGATGTGTTAATATGAACAGCCATAAACTGTTGACTCTCCTTTGTATATGCTTTTCATATGCTAGCTTGCTTTAAGATCATCTAAAAAAGGTTAATATCTATTTTTGAATGAGAAGAAACAGGCACAGAGATGTAATTTGTCTTAAGTCCCCTTAGGAAGCTGTAAGGGGCAGAGCTAGAACTTAAACCCTGGGTCCTTGGCTGTCAAAGCCTGTGTGCTTTCTTTACTGTGTTTGTCATGAGTGTGACCAGGTGTGCTGCTAGTTCACCTATATTAAATTTGATTTATTTAATTATGTGTTTTCTTTTCCTAGATTTTAATCTAATTTGAAAATGAGTAAGTGCAAAAAACCACCAGGTCATCCGATAGGAAGTCTTGAAACGTTCAGCCCAGATGTTCTTGCTGACATTGTTGAACTCTTTGCCAAGAACTTTTCTTATGGCAAGCCACTTAATCATGAATGGCAGTTACCAGATCCCAGTGAGGTTTTCACCAGTAACCACGCAGAATTTCACTCATTTCTTGATTTGAAGAACTCACTGAATGAAGTAAAAAACCTGCTGAGCGATAAGAAACTTGATGAGTGGCATGAACACACCTCGTTCACTAATAAAGCTGGAAAAATCATTTCTCATGTGAAGAAATCAGTGAATGCTGAACTTTGTACTCAAGCATGGTGTAAGTTTCATGAGATTTTGTGCAGCTTTCCACTTATTCCACAGGAAGCATTTCAAACCAGAAGACTGAATTCTCTACACCTCTGCGAAGCACCTGGCGCTTTTATCGCTAGTCTCAACCACTACTTAAAATCCCATCAGTTCCCCTGTGAGTGGAGTTGGGTAGCCAATACCTTGAATCCATACCATGAAGCAAATGACAATCTCATCATGATTATGGATGATCGGCTTATTGCAAATACTTTACATTGGTGGTACTTTGGCCCAGATAACACTGGAGATATCATGTCCCTGAAGTATCTGACGGGACTTCAGGATTTCGTAAGCAGCATGGCTACCATTCACTTGATCACTGCGGACGGGAGTTTTGATTGCCAAGGAAACCCAGGTGAACAAGAAGCTTTAGTGTCTTCTTTGCATTACTGTGAAGTTGTCACAGCTCTGATGACTCTTGGAAATGGTGGCTCTTTTGTGCTGAAGATGTTTACTTTGTTTGAGCATTGTTCCATAAACTTGATGTATCTGCTCAACTGTTCCTTTGACCAAGTCCATGTTTTCAAACCTGCTACTAGCAAGGCAGGAAACTCAGAAGTCTATGTGGTATGTCTCCACTATAGAGGAAGGGAGGCCATCCATCCTCTTCTGTCAAAGATGATGCTGACTTTTGGGACTGAAATGACCAGCAAAGCTCTCTTTCCCCATAGTGTGATCCCTGAATCTTTTCTTCAAAGACATGAGGAATGTTGCATGTTCTTTCATAAATACCAGCTAGCGACAATTTCTGAGAACATTCGTCTGTTTGAGTGCATGGGAAAAGAGGAACAGGCAAAGCTAAACAACTTAAGGGACTGTGCTGTGCAGTATTTCATGCAGAAGTTTCAATTGAAGCCGCTTTCCAGAAATAACTGGCTAGTAAAAAGATCTAATATTGGTTGTAGTACAAATACAAAATGGTTTGGGCAGAGGAACAGGTATTTCAGAACCTATAATGAAAGGAAGATGCTAGAAACCCTTTCATGGGAAGATAAAGTGGCTAAAGGATACTTCAATAGTTGGGCAGAAGAACATGCTACTTATAATCCCGGGCAAAGTTCTGTTTTAGAAGGGAATGGTTCTAATCTTGACTGCCACCTGTGGCATATTTTAGAGGGAAAGAAGCTGCCCAAGGTCAAGTGTTCTCCTTTCTGTGATGGAGAACATTTAAAGACTCTTAACGAAGCAATCGAAAAGTCATTAGGAGGGGTTTTGAATTTGGATTTCAAATTTAGGCGAAAACAGCAACATTATTGTTCTTGTCATGTTTTTTCCGAAGAACTGATATTTTCGGAGCTGCTGAGCCTTACCAAATGCCTTCAGGATGAGCAGGTTGTAGGACCCGGCAACCAAAGAAAGTGCCTGCTTGTGGGTTTGCCAGCTCTCCATGATACCAAAATGAAAGTCCCAATGGAAGTTCATTTCCTGGAATCAGCTGAACTCTTGACTTTCAGCTGCTCGTTGCTTCATGATGGCGATCCGAAATACCAGCACTTACTTTTAGACTGCATTCTGCGTTCGCTGCAGCGGCTTCATCCGGGAGATGTGTTGATTTTACCGATGCTTTCTTGTTTCACACGGTTTATGGCGGGTTTGGTCTTTGTACTCCACAGTTGTTTTAGATTCATCACATTTTCTTGCCCCATACCCTCTGAGCCTTTGAAGAGTTGTACAGTCCTGCTGTGTGTGGGCTTTCAGGACCTTCCAAATCCAGTTTTCCAGCATCTACAGAATGTGAATGAGTTGTTGAACACGTTGCTTAGCTCTGATGCATCTCAACAGGTTTTACAGTTTGTGCCAATGGAGGTGCTCCTTCAAAGGGCACTACTCGATTTTTTATGGGATTTGAATGCTGCCATTGCTAAAAGACATTTGCATTTGATTTTTCAAGGAGAAAGAGATGAGAACAATCACCTTGAGTTACAAAATTGAGCGTATTCTTTCTGAGATTCAGCTCTAGCTTCTTGTAGTGTGTAATGTTATTTCATCTGTTTGCTCTATTAATTCGAAACCCTAGCAATTTCACTTTGAAGTGATGCCACCTTGTATCACTCTGGATTACCACCAGATAGTTCCGACCTTGGACATATGCACAGGCCCAGGCATACAGTTCTTTAGAATCTATGCAATGACGATATTCACCCTCTACATAAGAGCGGAGGTGGGTGTCAGCTTGGGGTAGATACACCCATGTTGCAAATGCTGTTTAATTAATCTGATTTACCAGTTTGAAATTTACCTGTGTGCCTTCATTCTTAGATCTCCCCCCAGCCCCAACTAGTTTAGTCTCAACAGATTCTTTTGTCCATATGGTATAATGGCTGATGCTGTTATAACTTCATTTAGATCACTATGAAAAGAGATGAAGTTACCCAGCAAGACTGACTGCCCTAAAAATTTAATTTGTTATTTGTGAATTTCAAGTGACTCATTTTGCCAGATTTTTTGATATGTGCCATTCATTGCCTTGAACCATTGACCCAGTTTATTTTATGGTTCAAGGCTAGTAGAGTACTGCTTCATGAATATTTTATTAACCACAGCCATCTAACAAAAAGGTTACCAGGACAGTTTGAAACCAAAGATCATGTTAAAAACAATGGAAAATTGTTTGCTGTTTTGAATCTACTCCTGAATCATGAAAAGCTTTATGTAGCAATGCAGTAGAAAATTTAAACTTTTAGGTAACAATCTGGGAACTAAAGGATTTTTTGAAATTGCAAAATAGTGATAGATGAATGTGATGAGCAAAATGACTACTCGAGGGGGGAAAAAACCTTTCAGAATGATGGCTCAGCATTTAAACATTCCAAAAATCTTTACTAATGATCTCTTTTGATGTGAAAATAGCACTTTACCAGGAAGATTAACCACGAGATAGTTATTTTATGAGTTACATTTGAGTTGTTTTCAGTTGTGTGTATTTAACAATGTACTATGAGCTTTTTTGACAAACTGTTAAGACAGTCTTACCTACCTTGAAGCTCCACAAAATGGAGACTATATTGCCATGTGCATTTAAGCATTTTTGTTAGTTACATGAAAAATAGATGTATTGTCGTGTATTTGGTTGATAAATATAACCTGAAAATTCAATGTTCTTCGATATGTTAAGTTCCATTGTAGGTTTCATGAATAAAATAAAGACATGTTTTCATCCTTTCTCAAAGAGAATCATGGGGATAGTTAAAAATGTAACTTAGGAGTAGACTTTTTGTTATTATTGCTACAGAATTGTAGAAACCTCTGTAAAGCAAAAAGACCCACACGGGAATCTTGTTAATTCTTAATATTTCCTCTACCTAGGTCTTTATATTTTTTTAAAACAATTTTTAAAATTATGAATTAGTTGAAGATTTATTTCAGATCATTTTTTTTTTGTATTCAGAAGTTTCAACTCCTTATCCCCAAAAGCTTATTCTCCCCGCTCTCCTTTTCTCTCTTGTGTATTATTACTGTCTTCCCCTTCAAGTTGGTACCTGTCAAAACTCTAGTATATTACTTCATCTTCCCTTCCTCAAAACCCTCCCGTTGGAACCTCCAAAGTCTGTTCCCTATGTATGGAAGTTTTTGACTTTTTCTTCCCTTTGTAACTGGCCTTAAGTAACAGCTATCCTTTTGTGATTGACGAGTTTCAGTAAGCATGATGTTCTCCAGGACCATCCATGCCTGGAGGTGCTTCGTGGTTTCATCATTGTTTTTCAGTGATACTTATTATTCCATTATGTGTGTGTACTTAAGTTTTTTTAATCCATTCTTCCACTGATAGGCATTTAGGTTGTATCCATCTTCCTGCTATTGTGAACAGTGCTACAGTGAACGTTGGTGTGCTTACCTTCATTCTATGATTCTCAGGGATATATAACTGGCAGAGGTATTTGTAGGTCTTAGGGAATTTCTTTTTCCAATTATTTAAAGTAGCCCCATATCGCTTTCGACAGTAGACATACTTATGTACAGTCGCACCAGCTGTGTGGGGATTCCAATCCCTACATCCTTTCCAGCGTTTGTTTTAACCTTTGGCTCTCATGGCTGGTGTCATGGCCAGTGATCACGAGCGTTCTTTGTGTTCGTCAGCCGTTTGGGTGCCATCTTTGGCGAACTCTAAGGAGTAGACTTCTTTAAAGGAAGGTTTGGAAGAGAGTTATTTCCTCTCATTTGTGTTCATTAAAATTTAGACCTTAATATTATTTATGAAAGGTCTATGGGAGAGGCATTAAGGACTTGAAGGAGGTGTAGATTAATTCTTGCCAGAGTAAATGTGGAGACCTGGCAGTAGACTTCTGAGGGAAATCTCTCTTCCACTGCTTATTTACAGAAACTTCTTTTTGAAAGAGAAGGAAGGGAAAATGCTGTATAAAAGATTGAAAAATGAGAATAGTAAGGTGGTTTGTATAGTTTATTAAAGTTTCTGCTCTTCCCCCCATCCCCTTTGCATTTTAAATTGAGGTTTTTTTTTTTAAACTTAATTGTGATGCTTTGGGAAGTTTTTTGCAGCCAAATATTCTAAGCTTTACAAATGTATTTCTTAAAAACTTGAGAAATATCTTTCTCTCTCAATTTTAATTTCTTCGCACTTGTGGATGCTACCAGCCTCTATCTGACCAGCAACTATGGCTTCTTCTATGGTTTTGAGTTTTCCATCTTTTCCTCCCACTCCATCCAGGATCTGAGGAGCCCTTGTAGTGGTGTGGTGACACGTTAGACACGTTGGTCTACAAGGTTGACAGTTTGAAACCACCTGTGAGCTCTGGGGGAGAAAGATGGAACTTTCTACTCCTGCGAACAGTGAAAATCTCAGAAACTCACAGGGGCAGTTCTACCCTGTCCTATAGGTTTTCTCTGTGTATTGACTTGATGCAGCGAGTTTGAGTTTTGGTTTTGGTTTATCCAGGATCTTACAATTCGATCCCCTTCAGAACAAGTGGCAGCGGTATCTGGACCACCATCTAGTTCTTCAGGTCCCAGGATCAGGGAGACTGTGTTTTCCGTTAGTCAGTTGAACTAATTGCTTTGATGTGACTTTGATTTCCAGCACTCTTCTTTCCTTTGGATTGGGAGACATCAGTAGTTGGATATTAGGTGGCTGTTTGTCAGCTTTTATGAGCCTAGTTGCTACTATTTGAGCATTACTTTAAGCAGTATATGTGTGTGTGTCTGTCCGAGAAGGAGCTCATTTTTCTACCAGGATTATAAACAGGTATTGTGGTACATACTTGGCAAATATAGGTGTCTATAGAAATATTTTATTTGATTATTTTTATTATAACATTTTTTTCAAATGTATGAAATGTTAAGATTATCTGAGCAGATTTTTTTAAATTCATGGGATTTTTTTTCTTTAAAATTCCTTTAAAAAAAGGAATTCCTTTAAAAAGAGGAATGAAAAGATAAGTTTTTCCACCAACTTTTAGAAGCCCTTTTGAACTAACCCACATGTACCCTTATCCAAATTCAATAATTTGCATTTTGCTGGACTTATGTGGTACTCCAATATTTTTTTAATAAAGTATTTTGAAGTAAAGTCAGGAAAATACATATGTATTTCCAACAAATAAGGAAGGACTTTGTCCCATCTAGCAAGTTTACTCATTATCACCCCATGCTTATTTCATGTTCAATAAAGGGCATTTACACTTGATTTGTTCCAGTAAGGTTCACATACTACATTTACTTAATATCTCTTAAGTTTCTATCAACTATCTCCCTTCTCTCCACTGAGTCCCGACATCTCTGGCACTTTCTTTTCCATGGCATTTTCCTTGTTGAAGCACTGGCTGCTTTTCTTGTAGCCTTTTGCACATTATGGATTTGGATGATTATTCTGGTTGTCATCTTCTCTGTGCCACATATTTTCTATAAATTGGCAATTAGACTTAGAGGATTGATTATTTTTGGCAAGAATCTTTTATAAGTGGTGGCATCTACAAGGATAAGTCAAGAAGTACTGCTATAAAATCATAGGAATCTTTATTAAATACAAATATTAAAACGTGAAGACTGTTCTTTCTTGACTTATCTTCCAGCGAGGTCTAGACACTTCTGCAGGCAGAGTTTCCATCTTAGCAACTCCTAAAGAATCCGGTGGTCTTTGGTTTACACTACGTCTAAATGGCAGGGCCTGGGTTATCAAGTTGCAGAAAAAGTTGATGCTAAAGGCAACCTCCAATGACTGCTGAAGTCTTTTGGTTTTGATTGTCTTAAGTGTCTTTAGGAACTTATATGAAGGGTTTCAAAAAGTGGAATTAAAAGCTAAAAGGTTTTATTGCTCCCATACTTTCATGGCACACTGTTCCAGTTTCATCCTGTACATTTTCTGCTCAGATCTGACACCATCCTCACTTTACTAGTAGAGTGTCTAAAATCTAGTAGTTCCCTTATGTAATGAAGGTTTCCTTAGCCTTTAAAACATTATCGAGGAACCCAGAGAGTTTTTATTATGGGAGTTACATCTGTTGATACTTCCCATACCAGAATTTGAAAAAAAAAATAAAGTTTTATGAATTAATTTTTAAAGTAATGATAGGACCATTATATTTGACTATAAATAACATTTTTATAACTTGAAATAAAAAATTAGAAATCTGGCATTTATATTTTTGCATCTCTCTATTAGTGTATATTAGATATACACTAATTCTTTTAACTGGTTTTTCATTTCAGTCTGGTTGTAGTATTTAAAGAAAGTCCCACATGAGATGTGTAGTTGGAAGAGAAGACATGCTTTAGTAACCTTTCAGGTGCTCTCTGGATATTCTTTAATGTTAACACCAAAACTCAACAAGTAATAGTTTCTCAAAAGTTGTTTGTGACATGGAATCTGAACTATATTAATGATTTTTTGTTCTGTTACACTAACATTGCACTTTGAATGGGCCCTTTACACATGCATGATTTTGTAAACCATGAGTTTCTTTTTTTAGAAAATGCAAGTTCACTTAGTTACTCAGTTCTTGCATATGTTGACACATTTTATTACACAGTAGCAGAAAAATCACATTTTTAAAATATCACCTCTGATCTAATCAGAATCATCTAAGTATTGGGACGCTGTCAAGCTCAGGGTGGCAGACAAGATTCTGAAACCACTTTTTACTTGAATATTTGAATTTGATGTCAATAAATACTGTCAGTTGTTTTCCTTCAAGTGACAGCTCAGCTCCCTTTATTAATCTTTGAGGAAATCTCTGCCAGATGCTCAAGTCTGAATATCCATAGTTGATCTGCCAGTTCTTTCAAGTAAAAATAGTGTTTCATGAAAACTGCACAACTCGGTCGCCCACACGCTTTTCCTGGAGGCAGTCACCCCACTCTGGTAACAGCAGAAGTGCTGCTCCGGTGCTTCCTGTTGCACTGCGGGGAATATTACAACGACATATATTCAGGCTTGAGATTTAATACCAGTTAAATTTGTTCTACTAGTTGGGGACATTCACAAGGAAAAATAGCTGCTTTTTGTTTTTTAAATGAGTACAGTGAATACATTGAGTAGTGCATTTTGGTGTGTCTGCTGTATCTTTGTCCTGGGTTTTATCATTTAAGAGTTGGAAGTGCCTTACTTTCAGTGTGTGCTTAGAAAGATTGTAATCTTTTTCATCTGCATTTGTCTCCTGTCTTTACCTGTTTTATACCATTTATCTCTGGCTAGCTTAGTTTTAGGGGTCTTATACGTATAGCATTTAGAGTTGAGTTTTTCTTTGAAGCCTAAAAACACTTTATTTTACTAGGTGGGTTAAGTTCAATCATATATATTTATTTGCTCAAATCTATAATAATCATATTTCATGATATGTATTTCTGTATACAATATCTTTTATGATATTAGCAGTCTTCTTTGCATTTAAACTTTTCCTCCCTACCCCTTTCTTGTTTTGGTACTTAGAACAAATGTGCAGACTTCTGTACTAGCATCTTTACGTGTACCCACCACCACTGCTGTTGTCAATTTCTACTCCTATCAATACTTAATTCAATGCCATGCAGTGGATGCCAAATTATAGCAACCCTATAGGAAGTTTGAGTTGCCCCTGTGGGTTTCTGAGACTGTAACTTTTTGGGAGCAGAAAACCCTGTCTTTATCCCGAGAAGTGGCTGGTGGCTTTAAAGTGCTGATAGCAGCCCAATGTGTAACCTCTACACCATTGAGACTTGTCAACAGTACA